GAAAACCACGCGTGTTTCATCTAAAGCGGTTGCGCGTACCTGTTTCTTTTCACCACTAACCTGCGTGATAGCTCCACCGCAGGCATCTGCTACGTGATTCTCTGCTCTGCCCTAATCAGCAGTGTCATGAGCAAAGACATTCCAAGCCCTGCCTTCACCCAGGACTGGAAAAATAGGTCAGGGAAATAGCATTATAATCTGATTTAACTGCTATTCAAATAATCACAGTCTCTCCATTAATTTGAAAGAGAATTGGATTGGGCCCAAATTACTGACAACAAAATGGGAGGTTTATTTTAATATCGTCACCGTTTCATTTAAAATCTTCCATTCGAAGAACAGAAAATAAGATTTCCCACGTGCCTTCAGGTGGCTACAGCGTGACTTAAATTTTTCTGTAAACCAGTTCAAAATAGACAGACTGTCTGCACTGCAGTTGGAAATCGGAGCCCCAGCCCGACATAAGGCCACCCCCTCCTTACAGCTGATGGGTGCCATAAAGCAGAGGAACAGCTGAAGAGTAAGCGAGTTCATCACCCATATGTTTGAGTAGAGAACCTCCAGGATTTGCTTCTCAGAGTTCAGCGGAGAGTCTGCAGTTTCAAAACATGTCACCCAGCTGGAAACCTCAAAGGCCAAAGTAAGAAGAGAAAGACTATCTGGAATTAACTTCCCAAACATCACAGCTCATAGCAGAAATTTTATATACTTGATGAAAACAAAAATAACTTCACATTCGGGGGGGGGGGAGAAAAGAAAAGAGAAAAGGTCTGCCAAAGAGGCTTGTTTTGGCAAATAATGAATGCCTAAAGAAATATTGTTTGTATTGTGCAATGAACTTGTAATTAATGTTTGTTTGCTCACCATTTAATAGCAGTTCTGCATTAAGTGAAGGGATATTGCTGCCATTTGTGAATGTGCAGATTTTGAAACTTCATTCCCCATACGGAAGAGCTCCCAGGGGGTCATATCATAAACCCATTCAAACGAACAAAACAAATGACAAGTATCTGTACAAATGTGGAAAATGAGAAAGCTGTATGTATTATTTTATGTGAGTATTTTTAAGTGCCTCAGTTTACTTCTGTGGTATTTTCCTGCTTGACTGCACAGAGATAAATCAAAAGAGGCTGTCTGTCATGGCTTAACCCCAGTCGGCAACTAAGCCCCTCGCAGCCGCTCGCTCACTCCCCCCACAGTGGGACGGGGGAGAGAATCGGAAGGGTAAAAGTGGAAAAACTTGTAGGTTGAGATAAAGACAGTTTAATAGGGAAAGCAAAAGCCACGCACGCAAGCAAAGCGAAACAAGGAATTCATTCACCACTTCCCACGGGCAGGCAGGTGCGCAGCCATCTCCAGGGAAGCAGGGCTCCAGCACGCGTAACCGTTACTTGCGAAGACAAAACGCCATCACTCCGAGCGTCCCCCCCTTCCTCCTTCTTCCCCAGCTTTATATGCTGAGCATGATGTCATATGGTATGGAATATCCCTTAGGGCAGTTGGGGTCAGGTGTCCCAGCTGTGTCCCCTCCCAGCTTCTTGTGCACCCCAGCCTCCTCGCTGGTGGGGTGGGGTGAGGAGCAAAGGCCTTGGCTCTGTGTAAGCACTGCTCAGCAATAACTAAAACATCCCTGTGTTATCAACACTGTTTTCAGCACAGATCCAAAGCATAGCCCCATCTTAGCTACTATGAAGAAAATTAACTCTATCCCAGCCAAAACCAGCACACTGTTTAACGAGGAGAATGAAAGCATCAAAAATATAAAGCTCCTTTAGATGTGATGAGGGGCCCTTAAATGGAGGAGTCCCCTGTTTCTTTCCAGCTAGCCTGGCAATGTTCATGCCTCTCATGCCTACGTCTACATCTAAAGGGAGCCTGAAATCCCAAAGAAATTATGAGACTGGCCAGAAGGAGAAATGTCAGGTAGCAATCGGTGTGCTGTCAAGAATGCAGACACTGACCTGGATTAATCCCACTTATCTACGTGCACCTGAAACAGAAGGGCAAGCTGTCTGGCTAAGCGTGAAGCCACTTCCGAAGGGCAGCTCAGAGACAAGCAGGCTCCTAACATGGCAGGGATCCCAAAAGGGATCCATCCAGGCCTTCCACTCCTCCATAGGCAAGGAGAGAGGCACACACAGACAAGATTAAGCCAGTTTAGGTGATTGCTACCGTGCCTGCCCCTGCACTTGCACAAACTACACCTCGACTGAGCTGCTTGAGTAAGTAGGCAGGCGTGCGGGTGGGCTTACTGACGCCTTTGCTGCTACGGTTTCATTGCTACTAGGACTCTACACGACTCACTGATAAAGCTAGACTTGGCAGAGCTGGAGGTCGGGGAAGATGCAGTATCTTGCAGAACAAGATTCAGCTACAGCAACACGCATGAGTACGGACACTGTACTGCTTTAACGTTTTCTGTGAAATACTACGAACTTCTTGGTAGAGTGATGAATATTGTTTTGTTTTGAAAAAAATGTTCCTTTACTTTGCTGCTACACGGGCACCCAAAGTAAAGGTTCTAGCAGACACCGAACTCAGCTGGTCCCTGCCTGTTAGTACGCTTGGGGGATGGTGCCAAAGCTGCCCCTCAGAAAGTCAGTCCTAGAACGGTAGGACTGTGCCACTAACTCAGCGCCAGGTACAGAAGCCATGCCTGCCACCCAGGGGGGACAAAGGGAGGTTAGCAGCCAGCCTGCTCTGTAACCAAGTCTGATGCATCATAGCTGAGAGGACATGGACTGTGATAGGATTTAATTCTGCACATTTCTCTTACTGGAAGATACTATACGCCCCCTTAATTTCCCAAATAGTTTTTAATTTTGTGCCTGTTTTCTCAGAGCTATGAGGGAGAAGAGGGAAGAGGTGTTCTTTACCACCATACCGTCATGGAATTACATGGCCTTGCTTCCTGGTGTGGTTGTATTTCCATCTGAAGTTTCTAGTTCTCCTGGATCACAGATTCCTATTGACCCTCAAAACTTGCCAGAGATGACTATGCACTCAACTACAGCTATTATAAGAGAGCTTTCACAGTGACACAGTGCTGCAGCTCACTTGCAGTGGGCTCCCAGATCACCTGTATGCAGCTGTATCTGGGGAATGACAGCTTTACATCACTCTGATTTATGGCTATATTAAATATATTCTGAAGGCATTTGTTTATTTAGTTAGAAACCAAAAGTTCCACGTGTAGATGAAAACTTGATCTCTCTTAAGACATCAAGCAGAAAGCTTTGATGGGTGGAGGGAGGTCCCCACTAGGAAACAATATGGAAATTTTAAACTTCTCTGTAAGCTTTGAGTGGGAGGGGAACATATAGACCATGACAAACTGCAAAGGAGGACACAGCCTGTAAATGGGGCAGGTTGTTGCTGAAGAAGGAGGTATTGGCCTGTGGAAAAGCCAGAAAAAACTCAGAACATAAGACATACCCCTGATAACGTGGACTTACATACAGCTGTCTACTTCATTCTTAGTTTTGACAGAAATGAGATTGCTGTGTGGTTATTTCCCATGCTATCTATATGAAATAGAAATTTCAGTGAACTATGGCTAAGGGCTGCTGAGGGAGGGTTGGCGTTTCATTAGTATTAAGTGAGATTGCATAAAGAGGTCTGAAATTGAAGGCTGTGCTAGGAAAGGAAGGAAACAAAGTGAAATACAAACAAAAATATTGCCATGAGCTAAACAGCATGACAGAAAGGATATGTGGTTTTGTTGTTTGGGTTTTTTTGCAAAAAGTTGAGGAAATCAGCTGCCTCCACTTTTTCCAATTCTTCAAAATTGAATCTAAGACTGAATAAAAACTTTTCTACTCAGCAAAAGTATAGAACATTGATGCTTCTCTAAGTGCAGCATTTGCAATGCCATCATCATTGCTGAAACATAATCTTAATGATAATTTAAGCCGCTGTTACAGGTCTTTCAGCTGCTCTTGAACTTCATCTACTTTCAGGAGCAATCTGCTCATCTTTGATACCCCAAAATGGCAGAAATCAATGTGTTATTATGCTGTAAGAACAACTGAAAAGCAAAGTCTTGAACTTGATACGAAAACTATAACCTTCCTTTATGTTCACCACTTTGCCTTCCACAAAATATAATTTAAAGAGAGAATTCAAGAACTTTATCTTGGAAATACTCCTTCCTCCAGGCAGATTTAGCTCATAGATCTTCTACTAGATTCTGCCACTAAGAAAATATTAGGAAAAAAATTAAGGAACAATAGGAAGACCCAACATTGACTTCAACGCTATAATAGTTTTAACATATGACAAAAAAGACCTCTAAGGTTCACACAGGAAGAAATATATTTATACTTAATAATCATGAATCCGAAAAGCAAACCACAGAACTGCAGCAAAGCATTTGTTGAAAATGACATCCCAGATTTTGAGAAAGAGGGTTGAAATGGGAAATAAAGTGTATGGTTAGGGAAACAGCAGTGGAAAAGAAAAGAAAACACAGTTTGAAAAGATTTTAAAGATCTGTGAGTGTACCTCTCCTTTCATTCCTAGCCAGCCAATCTTGCCTCAGTCTGGCACCTGGGCTAGTTGGGCCAAAACTTTATACTGGGATAGACAAAGATAAGGCAAGCAAGTTAGTAAAAGAATGTGTGAGGCTAAATCTTGAACGGGAATGTTAATACTTACATCACTTTTTTTAAATACAGACTTGCAGATTTTCACTTCTGTCATTTGTGATTCATCTTATAAAGCATAAATTTACATTTCACTGTATGTACTTTATTCTTCCACAATGAATCTACAAGATTTTTATAGATTTTCATTGTGCTTTTCAGTATGCTCCCAGTAGAAAATGGATTATCTTTTTTTTTCAGGAACTGGAGAAAATCACAACTCTGCTGTTCAACTCGCTGGTGAGTCTTTATTCAGTAAAATGAGTGTGCTGACCTACCCAGGCCTGGGCACAGCCAGGAACAGAGAAGAATACATATAAAATGACACAAAACCCCCTTTGGAACTGTATTTTGTACCTGAGGTAGCACTGCTGGTCCTTGTCCTGCCAACCTCTGCAAGGAGCTGACCTGAGGAACCTTAATGGGCACTGCAGTGATAGTTCCCAAAGTCTGTCGGAAGAAAAACAGTTGAACACAGCTTAAAACACTTGCACAGCTTCACCAGATAGAATCTGCCCGACCCAGCAGTCCCCCTTCCAGCTCTTTGTCTCTTTCCGACTTATGACGGAAGGGTATAATACATCCGTCCATTTGAAGCTCTCCTCTGCCTAGAGAGTCAGAGACTCTTCCTTCTCTTTAACCTTCTCTACAAAGCACTGTTAACTAAAGCCTATTGCCTCCTTAGAGCATTTGGTAATTCTGAGTGCAAAGGACACATCTCATTGTTGTGAAGTTTTTTGGTACACAAAGAAAATACCAGCTTGCTGCCATGGCTGAAGGCTGTCTAGGCACTAGCCTGTTTTCAAAAGAGAGCTGAAGAAAGGTGAAAAGCACCAAGTGACACTTCAAAATGTGCATTGGTAAGTTGATGCATTTCATGGCAGCCAGGGTCACAAGAGAAGTGCACTGCGTCTCAGTAAATAGCGAATACTGTATTATTAAACTGAAAACTACCTATGAATCTACTACAGCACACTGTAACATAACGTTCAGCTAAGACGATATCCCTTTGGGCCAACACAGCAAGCTATTACTATCCACATTTATTTTCTCTACTCACCCTTCCCTTAGTGTATAACAAATTTATTCAAAGCTTATTTGAGATAGAATAGAACAGAACAGAACAGAACAGACTATTTCAGTTGGAAGGGACATACAACAATCATCTAGTCCAACCGCCCGACCACGTCAGGGCTGACCAAAAGTTAAAGCATGTTGTTAAGGGCATTGTCCAAAAACCTCTTAAACATTGACAGGTTTGGAGCATCGACCACTTGTCTAGGAAGCCCGTTCCAGTGTTTGACCACCCTCTTGGTAGAGAAATGCTTCCTAATATCCAGTCTAACCCTCCCCTGGCGCAGCTTTGAACAATTTCCATGCGTCCTATCACTAGACACCAGGGAGAAGAGCTCAGCAGCTCCCTCTCCACTTCCCCTCCTCAGGAAGGTATGGAGAGCCATGAGGTCACCCTTCAGCCTCCTTTTCTCCAAACTAGACAAACACAGAGTCCTTAGTCGCTCCTCATAGCTCATTCCTTCCAGCCCTTTCACCAGCTTTGTTGTCTTCCTCTGGATGCATTCCAGGACCTTCTCATCCTTCTTAAATTGTGGGGCCCAGAACAGCAGTTCAATATTCAAGGTGAGGCCGCACCTACGCTGAATACAGTGGGATAATCGCCTCTTTTGCATCCCAGGATGCGGTTTGCCCTCTTGGCTGCCAGGGCACAGTGCTGGCTCCTACTGAGCCTGCTGTCAACCAGATCCCTTTCTGCAGGGCGGCTCTCCAGCCACTCCTCTCCCAGCTTACACTTGTGCCTGGCATTACTCCGTCCTAGATGCAGAACCTGGCATTTTGACTTGTTAAATTTCATCCCATTAATCACAGCCCAATGCTCCAAGCTATCTAGATCCCTCTGCAAGGCCTCCTGTCCCTCAAGAGAGTCAACAGCACCTCCCAGTTTGGTATCATCAACAAACTTGCTAATGATGCATTCAACTCCTGCATCTAGATCGTTGATAAATATATTGAATAGGACTGGCCCTAGAATTGAACCCTGAGGAACAACACTGGTGACCGGTCACCAGCCAGATGTAGCCCCACTCACTACAACCCTTTGAGCTCTGCCCTTCAGTCAGTTCTTCACCCAGCAACCATGAACCTGCTCATCCCACAGCTGGACAACTTGTCCAGAAGGATGCTGTGAAGGACAGTATCAAAAGCCTTACTAAAATCCAGAAAAACTACATTCACCGCTTTCCCTTCATCCACTGGGCAAGTGACCTTATCATAGAAGGATATCAAATTAGTTAAACGGGGCTTTCCTTTTGTGAACCCGTGTTGACTGCACCTGATGATTGCATTATTCTTTAAATGCCTTTCAATGGTAACCACTATATTTGAGGTAGTTCCTTCTATGAGCAAATATACTGCTGCATTCTACACCAAGTTTACTTTGCAGATGGAGAAGTGATATTTGTTAACCCAGTATTAGCTGTAACCCTTACGAATACAGTTGGATACCAAGAGAAGGAAATTACATTTCTGTAATACAGAGTCAAGTTCACACAAGATCCTCCCTGCCTAAAAATCTCTTAGCCCCAATCCTTTGCTGACTTTTCAGCTACCCGTAGCAATACAGATGTCTATAGATGTACATTTATGCGTTCTGTTACAGATGATCTGAACGGCACCTCTTTTTCAAGCCTCACCCACCGAGGCTCCTAAAATACTGGATCTGCGATGCTGTAAATAACTTGTACTTTATTTTCTCCGTTAAAATGGACAGATAGCTTATACATTTAAGACTGGGCCACAGGTCTAAAGAACACGGCTAACTTTTCCCCTTTAACCTCTTTCATCCCTGATTACAGTTCGTATTTTGGTTAACTGGCCAATATTCTTAAGGCAAGGTTTTATAACTACTATCTAACATTTCTTAATTGCTGCTGGGATGGCATGGCAATATAAGCAAGCAGATGATTGTCATTATAACAGCAAGAGACACTGCGTCACTGATCACAAAAACTTACCAGGCTGCTAGAAATAGTTAATAAGGAAAGAAAAATAGATTAAACTGAATTTCTCTAAATTTAACTCCCCTCAAAACAAAAGTATCAGATCACAGCCAGTAAGATAAAGTATGCTAATACTACCCAATCTGGTCATGAAATTTGTCAATGGAAAGGAAACTATAATGTCATCAGCTCAAGGAAAGCGAAACTGTGTCAGGTCCATGCCGATATGTTCTCCTCAGACCTCAACGACAGTGGTAAAACAGCCTATTTCATTCTAACCATAGCATTTGATAAGAATACCATGCGTTTTCATGCAGAATATTTTTAATAAACTTGTCCTACAGAGTTTATATTTTTAACTCTGCTACTCCTCTTGGAGACATTTGGAGGTGTGATGTTATATATTCAGCAAAGATTAAAATTTGCGTAAGATTTGCCTGACTTAAACAACAAGAAGAGCTGTGCAGTTCTAAACATGCAAGACGATTTTTCCTGAGTACTCGTGGATTATCAGTACCCTGGATTATCCATGGAAAAATATACTCTATTGAAATTCTGTCTTGAGCCAGGGGAAGGGGAGAAGGCACGGAGAAGGCAGCATTTCTACCCATGGATGCCAAAACCTTCCTGCAGCAGTAAGGGTAGTGGCAGCAGAGTGAGGAATACAAGGGGGTATTTACACCACAGTTAGGGTGGCACATGGAATAAAAACAATGGGGAGGATAGTATAAGCTGTCTGAATGAAGTACTTCTTTGCCCTGTCTACCCTATCACAGCCTCACACTTTGGGAAGGACAACATGATGAATTCCTGCGGTCTGGAGAGAAGGAGAACTTGAGCTGCCACCTGCTGCTATTGCCACTTATTAGACATATCACAACTTCCTGCTTTATAGTAGCATCAACTAAAATTAATTCAGCCCAGTTATTTGCTTTTTAAGGTGAATACCAACACGAACTTTCCAACGCACACTAGAGGAACTGAACGTTTAACACAAGTATGACCTACATTTTCCCTCCATCCCAACACTGCTTATATGTAGAATGAGATTTCTTTCACAGTGCAGTGAAGCCTGACTCGGAGCACCACAACTTCTCCTGGGCTGCACATATACCCTCTACAGAAAGTTAAAACAAGATCTTTCTTCTGGAAGGTTGTACTTAAAGTGTGGCTGCATCTCTCATCATTTTTATATATACTACCTCTGACCTTGAAAACACACATTCTGATACTCCTATTCGCACAGATACATGTGGACTTGCAAGGATTTTCAAACTGGCCAACAGAATACCAGGTATTAAATACAAAGTGCCAACACTGAGTGAAATCGGGAATTGACTGTAAAGATAAGAGTCAAATTTCTCAGCACTTAGATGAGAGAGATACAGTTATCAGTTGGTAGGATGCACAAAAACTCCACGTCTGAGCAACAAATCTCTTTTCCTGTACTACTTCAAATATCAATGACAAGGCAAAAAAACAACAAACCAACCCCGTCTAGAACAGAATGCCTCTGTCCTGTGAGGAAGGAGCTCATCTCAACCTCTGGGTGCATCGTCGGGCCAATTCTGATTTATGTTTCATGAGCCAAAAGGAATGAGAATGAGAGAAGAAACAAGAAACAGCATAAAACTACTCTGCACAGTTCTCTTAGCTTCACTTGAAGACAAAGCCAGGATGTATTGTTTGTGGGTATCAGAGAAATGAACTATCATTAGTTCTGTCACCTGCACTCTCAAAAAATTAGTCAGATTTATTTTCGTGAAGTAGGAGTTCTGCAGTGATCTCGAGAGAACAAAAACAAATTATGGCATTCTTAGGTTATGAAATTTCCAGTGACAAAGATGCAGCCTCCTGTTTACAAATAGGTTTTACAGTAAGGATCTGTTATTTAATATTCAAGGAAACAATCTCAGTATAAAAATCATATGGCCAAGGGAAAATTCAAAACTTTAATCTCACATTAATAATAGCACTATAGTATGTTCAGACAGAGACATATGTAAGAATCTATTTTATGTTTCACTATTTGCATTGTTTTGTTATTATTTTCCAGCCTGGGCAATAAATAGTTCAAGCTGTTGTGTTGGCAGAATTCAATGACAGAAACCTCTGTACTTTTCCTGTAACACATTTCATCTGTTATCTCAGGGTACTTCACCTGGGTCAGTATTATTGGCTCCATTTTAGTGACCAAAAAAATTGAGATTTAGAGATAAAATAATGTGGTCAGGGGTAGGCTGTTGTGCAGGTGGAAATGCAAGCCAGATTTCTTACTTCTAGTGTCTCATCCATGTGACTGGTTAACCTCTTCTCATCTGTTGACATAGAGTCACATCCGAGTTGCCCAGTATTTAGGTCAGATTTTAATGATCAGACCAGGACGTTTCCATGATGATGGGTGAAAGAGGTGAAGTATAAAACCCAGGGAATCGCAGTTGCAGTCTCTGCAATGAAGGAGGTGCAGGTGCTAGAATGGATGGTTGGGCACGTTGGCTCTGGGTGCATTTTTCAGCGCATTTCAGAGCACTGCTTGGTTCCAGATTAAGCGGTAAATAAACGAGCAGATAAACCCACTTGCCCGGCAAATAAAGAAGTAAATGTCCTTATCTGATGTTCTTGGGCAGGCAACGAGGAGTGGACAAACTCCCCCCGGCTCAAGCGGTAAGAGGACGAATACTGCTCACACTCAACACTTCAGTTCTAGCTGGGTCCTCAGCTCAAGCCCATGGGCTGCAAGAGGTAAGTAATCAAGCTACCTCCCCCCCAAAAAGGGGAACTTTTTTCCTTCTGTTAACTGTGCCACCTATTTTCATTCACAAACTGTCCAGGCTTGCCATGGATCCAAGACTCATCACTCACTAATTCCACACTATCATTTTCATCCATGTGGGCCTTTTTTTCCCTCCTTCCTTTTTTCCAGTTTGTCCAAAGAGCAAGCTGGTGCACATTCTTATAAACCTTTAATTAACAAGCTGAAAAGACATTTTTCTGGCAATGCCTGACCTTTAAGCACTTTGTATGAATTTATCGATACCAGCAGAAACAATAATTTAAAAGGTTATTTTATGAGTGCTGAATAGTTTATGGCAGCACTTTTGTCAAGATAAATGAGTTTCTTATTTCTACATTTACAGCTCTAAGCATTTTAATAAAAAAGGTCCATAAAAGTCAAAGATAACTCCAAATCTCTCCTCTATCTAAGTCTACTTGGGCTCTTCTGGTGACCCCTTGAAACACCTACAATGTGGAGGGAGCACTGAAATGTGCAGTTATGGGGGAAAGTGAAGAGCTAAGTTTCAGTTTGCCTCAGAATGGTTTGATTTGATTGTATAAATTGGAGCCGGTTTTACTATCTTGAGGATCTATGAGAATTAGTATCTGTGGGAATTTTTTTCAAATAAAAACAAGTTCATCAGGTGTATTTCCTACTGTCTAATTCACTAAGCTTTACATCCAGCAGCACTTATTATTCCAGGCAAGCACCTGGGAGCTCATGACCCCTTGCTAACTCCTACCTCAAGCCTCAGCCCCAGCCCTGGACTGGAAGAGGAACCTCAGCCACTGCACCACCCACCCTAGGAGTTAATGGCTAATGAACACACATGGCTGCAACACAAACCGCTTCCGAACCCTCGTCTTCAGTGACCTATACAAAGCAGACAGGCATCTGGCATGTCAGGAACTCCTTTTTTGCTTGAGTAATCCACAGACGCCCTTGGAGAGGAACCGCAGCAGGCCTACTGTGTAGGTGACCTGCAGTCTCAGTTGTTGGGTAAATGTCATCCAGTAGCATGCTCCGAAGGGTCACATTTCGAATTGCAAAAACAGGTGAAGAGATGCAAATGAAAGAACCTTTTTCAGTGGTCAGTCTACTCACTAAGAAGATAATAATAATAATAATAATAATAATTTAAAAGAAGAAAACCAACCCAAAAGCCTCAAAGCAGGAGGGCACAGTTGCACTAAAAGACAAAAAAAAGCAGTTCCTCCCATGTAACCAAAAGAAAATGAAAAATTTAGAAGATATTGCCAAGTGCAGTTAAAAAAGAAAATCACTTCTTGCCCTCAATTCTGCTATTAATATCCAATAGCATTGTAACTATTTGCTATATTTTCTCCTCCTACGCCTCTCCTGCATTTAATCAACACCATCCCTAGATCAAGGCTCTGAAAGATGCTTGAGGGATATAAGTGTGGGGACAGTGGCAAGCAGAAGACATAAAAAGTGAAACACAGAAGTATGGTATGGACAGAGAATAAGAATACAAAGGATGAAGGCTAGAGACGGTTAGAGGATAAAAGGATGCTGGCGCAGAAACAAGGATGAGATTTACATTGCCAATGATCAGACTAAGGGCCATACGTTCAGTTCCCTACTATTATGTTATGATTTCTTTAGGCAATGCCTGAGTTTTTAAATCCACGGTATATGCACATTTGTGATTTTAGCAAACTTCTGCATTTCAGCCCTGAATTAATACACACACACGTGCGTATATATACACACACAGATATGTACCTCTACTTTATCAAAAGATATTTACATTTTACTCAGTTTGGGTAAATATATTTGTCAGCCCATTGCTATGTTTGCTTTGAGTTACAAATTCCTTTCCCCCCTCATTTGGGCGTGCTAACAAATGCTTAAGGACCGGTTCCTGCAATTCGTTATCCGTACGAGCCCACTGGTGAGCTCAAGCACATGAGCAGTTTAGGATTAGATGTAAAACTGTTAGGGGACACAACTCTCCTCCCGTTCCAGAATTACACCAGTACAGATAAAACCACTGGAGTCAATCACTGAAGAGAATGAGACTCAGTGAGTTAACAGAAGGTTAAAAAGCCACATAGCTTCAAAAGCTTTTCACTACAGCATGTTACCAAAATAAATACTTAACTCAGGAACACACGGGTTCGTTGTATCGTAGCAGAACAGTTCAATTATTTGAGTTCAACTGACACACTGCATTGCTGTATTATTTGCAAACTATTTTCTACTGACATCAATGCTGCAGCACAAATATTGTGTTCCTACAATGTATTATAGAAACACTAATCTTTTTCTTTTTAAAGTACATGTGCATCTCTTGAAGATCTAGGTCTTCTTCGTGTTGCAAATAAGACACCTAAGCTATTAAAAAAATGTTTTTGTCTGTTATGTGTTCAATATTGGCAACAACAGTTTTACAGAATGGATTTTTAATGTGGTAGTGACAGGGGAACAGATTGCTATGGCAACAGCAAAGATGAAAATTCTTAACCTGAATGGATCGTCACTGAAGTAATTGCAGGGTTTTTTTATCCATTCTACATCCATTTTACAACTTGAATGCTGCATTCAACCTTGAGCTTGCTTTATATACATGCCAAGCACTATATGCAACCTCCAAGTTCATTTGACTTAAAACTTGCTGCACTTTAGCTCAATAATCCCAGATAGTTGCTGTCCTCTAGCTAACCTAAACATCTGAATGCTATTATTTTTCCATATAGCCCACTAGTAGAAGCACTGTGCGCTTGCATATAACTTTGAGGCTCCTGCAAGACATGTACACATACATATTTTTTCTTTCCTTCTAACTTCTATGAAAGTCTGTGCAAATCATTCTTCATTATCAAAATATGGTGAAATCACTGTGCATGGTATTAGTAATAATCTGGTGGAATAATGGCATATTTCAGTTTCACACTCGGATTGTATTCCAAAGGAACTGCACTTCAGTCACATATTTTGTATGAACAGTAATTTAGCTGGGGTTTCGTAGAAATTTAAAGATTTCTCTTCCAGCTTTTAAAAGTGGGGTTTTTTCCTCACTTCCTTTCTCTTCACTCCGAATTCATTAATCATGCTCTTGTACGCACATGTATTATTGTTATGAAGTAGACCACCAGAAACACAACAACTCCTGTTGCTTTTTTCAGGTATCAGTATCTTTTAAACCATCCTTTCTTTGGGCCCTAGCAATACCATTTAAACCAACCCTCATTACAGCCAATTAACGATGACTCAAGCTACGCCAGATGCTTTTGCACTGAGAGAGCCCACAACTGCTCTCGCTGCCCGCTACAAGGGCCAGTACCGGGGCAGCGACAAGCAGCGGGAGGCAAGGTACCACCTCAAATTCCCACCCTGCTTTGGAAACCATGGAGTGAGCAAAATCTCACCTGCTGCTGAGGGATTCATACTCACCCCTTCCAACACCACACAGCTTGCAAGGAAACCCACAGTGGTATCAAAGCTCATGAGAGTATCAGAGGAGTACACGCAGAGATAAAGCAAACTATTTTTTGCTCTTACTGTGGCTCTTAGGCTTTTCAGAGCACCATCTAATTTATCTCTGCTTTTACCACCGCTCTCAGACTTTTCAGACCACTACCTCTACCTCTTGCCACTTGCACATTCCCACGTGCATAAACCCAAAAATGCAAACTCTGCTTGAACTCACTGTAGGTGTGTATTCTGGCAGAGTAAAAACATGATGAATAGAGTTCATGAGTTTCACTGGTTCAGAAAACCCACTGGTTACTTGCACAAGGGGATAGATAGCTGTG